GAGAGAGAGAGAGCTGGCGGGGGCAGAGGGCGAGGGTGTGTGTGTGTGCGTGCCAAGGGAAGCCTGGGCGGGGGGGGGGCAGGCCCCCCTCCAGAGCTGCCTCACAGCAGGGATCCTGCCTGGCCCTGGGGACCTGCTTCTCACACACCCCCTGGGTGTAAAGGGGCCGCTGCTCTGGTTGCCAGCTCCAGGTTGGGAAACTCCCGGAGATTTGGGGCTTGGGGGGGGCCTGGGGAGGGCGGGGACCTCGGCAGTGGGGCACAGGGCCACAGAGTCCACCCGCCAAAGCAAACGTTTCCTCCAGGGGAGCGGAGCGCTGCCGTCTGGAGATAAGCTCCAATCCCAGGGGAGCCCCGGGGCCCTCCTGGAGGCCGGCACCCCTCGCCGCTGCCCCGGACTCTCAGGCCGTGGTCTGGTTGTGAGGCAGGAGGGTCTCTGGGCAGGAAATCGGCCCCCTCCCACCCCCCAACCCCGCCGGTGAGGGCAGCTTTGCTTGGGGTCTGGGAGCCAAAAGGACATTGGAGGGGAACCCCCCCCACCAGCCCTTCCTGAGCATGACCCAAACTGCCTCCCCTCCCGTGGGGCACTCACCATCAGGCCCCCGCCCAGGAGCCCCCCCAGCAGCCAGACTTGCAGGGTGATGCGGTTGGCGGCCCAGTGCCTCTCCCCGCTGGGGAACATCAGCAGGACGTTGGCGACGATGCAGGCCAGGCCCATGGCCAGCAGGGAGAGGCCCACCAGGCGGGAGCATTTGCCCGTGCACATGGCGGCCCTGGCAAGGCGGGCAGCAGCGGGACACTGACGAGGCGGGGAGGGAGGCCGTGGCGCAGGTGTTTGTTTGCAGATAAGGCGGCGGGCAAAGGGCTGGTAGGGCTGGAAGGCTCCCCCCCCTGCCGCCGCTGCCACCACCTCCTCCTCCATCCCTGCCTTTCCCTCTCCCTCCGCCAGGCCAGAGCTGCAGACCCCGGGGAAGCGCCCCCCCCCCCGGACCCTCCAGTGGCCAGGAGTTCCACACACCCCTTCCCTCTGGCTGTGGGGCAGCTGCAGCCCTGCTGGGACCCCGGAGGCCTCCCCGACTCCGGCCAGGGCTCTTCTCCAAGCTGGCCCAAGGGCACCGGGAGGAGGGAGGGGATTCCAAAGCAGAGACTCGGGTGGGAGGGGGGGGCGCCCTGCATGGAGGCTCCTCCCTCTGAGCCACAGCCGGTGGGGGGGGTGTCTTGTGCCCTCAAGGGGCTTCCTTAGGCATGATTTGCACCCCCAGCGCCTCCTGTTCCTTCGCTGCCTGGCTCAGGGCCTGCCAAGAGAGGGCCCGTGTGGGCGCCTGCCCATCTCCGGTGGGGCCTTCCTCGTCCCCCCGCGGCCGCCAGCCTTTCCCAGCAGGATGGCCTTGCCCAGGGACTGTGGCCTCCCCACCACCACCACCACCACAGGAAACCTGCACGCAAAAGTCTGGCGTGGTGCCCCAGTCGGGTGTGGTGGTGAAGGGCCCAGAGGACTCTCATCTGGGAGGACTGGGTTGGATCCCCCACTCCTCCTCCACACGCAGCTGCTGGATGACCTTGGGCAAGCCATGGTTCTGATAATGAGCTGTCCTTGAAAAAAGAGCAGTTCTCCAGAGAGCTCTCTCCGCCCCGCCTCCCTCGCAGGGTGCCTGTCTGTTGCGGGGAGGGGGAGGGAGAGGAGTTTGTCAGCCGCTGTGAGACTCCCCTGGGTAGTGAAGGGTCAGGGGGGATAAGAATCCCATCTCTCCTCTCCTCTCCTCATACCTTGGATAAAACTTGGTTGGTCTTAAAGGTGCCCCTCGACTCTAACTTGGTTCCAAACCAAAGGGGCAGGGAAGCTCCCGGGGTGTGTGTGTGTGCGGGGGGGTTTTCTTTAGGGAGGCCTCTCTCCTTCACCGCTGCCTCCTCCAAGGCCCCCTCCCCCAGCCGCTGCCTGCCTTGACCGGAGGGGATATTGCACCCACCTCCCCCCCCCCCGGGCCTTCTGATGGCCGGCCTCAGGGCGGGCCGGAGGCAAGGGCGGCTTCGGAGAGAGGAGGGGGGAGTCCCTCCCCGGTGCAGCCACGGAGCCGGGGGGGGGGAGGAATGGGGGGGCGCGCCCCCGCCTCCCCCAGCGCCTCCGGCAACGACGTCCCGCGCTCTTCGGCCTCCGCCCCCGGCTCAGTGTCCCGGGGCTGCTCAGTCAGAAGACGTCCCCGCGGAGAGGAGGAGGAGCCCCGGGGGTCGGGTGCAGGCGGCTCCGCCTGGAAGCAGCAGCAGCCACCGGCCGGCCCGAGTGGGCTCTGCGAGCACGAAGAGCCTTGCAAGGGAAACCGAAAGGCGAGCCCTGGAGCCGCGGCGCCGATCCCCGTCGGAGACCGCACGGAGAGCCGCCCGCCGGCCAGTGAGCCGCACTCCCCACAGACACAGTGCCCACCTGACTCACTGCGGGACGCCCCATCAGAGCGCGCCTCAGAGTCTTTAGTAAACGTCTCTCCGGAGCTGCGGTGGCTCAAGGGGTGAAGACGCTGAACTGCAGGCGGTGGAAGGTCGGCAGTTCAGCAGTTCGAGACCCGAGTGTGCCGCATGACGGAGTGAGCTCCCGTCTCTAGTTCCAGCTCCTGCCAACCTAGCAGTTCGAAAGCAAGAAATGGCAAGTAGAGAAATAGGGTCCACTTCGGTGGGAAGGGAACAGCGTTCCGTGCGCCTTGGCGTTTAGTCACGCCGGCCACATGACCACGGAAACGTCTTCGGACAGCGCTGGCTCTTCGGCTTGGAAACGGAGATGAGCACCGCAACCCTAGAGTCGGATTCGACTGGCTTTCGAGCAAGGGAACCTTTAAACGTCTCTCTAAGCCTTTGTCAAACTCGGCACCTCGTTTGCCACGGGAAATGGGTTGCTGTAGACGACTGGGAGGGGGGGCTTCTCTCTGTGCGCGCGTGCGCCTGTGACGGGGGATGCTTTGCTATGCGGCTGAGTGACTCTTTCTGGGAAGAGACCGGCTGTCTCCGCTCGCTCCGCAAACAGAGATGACCTCGCGAGCGAGCGGGAGCCTCGCAGGTGTGGAGGGGAAGTGGGGGCGCGCGAAAGCCAGGCGGGAGGAAGGCTTGGGACGGATTGGAGGGGAGTCCAGGGGCGGATTCACCAGGAAGCAGGCGAAGCACGTGCTTCGGGCACCAGGGCCAAAGGGGGCACCTCAACAGTTGGGGAAAGGGCGAAAACTTGTGAAATATTAAAATAGAGGTTGTATTGCATTTTTGCAGAACTTTATGTAGCCCAAGCTTGGCTTAGTTTGTACCGTATACTGTTATCATCCTATGAATACATGTTTGCATTGCTGCCACCTGCATTGTCTATCTGGTCAGACAGGTCAGCCACTAACATGGACTGGGGGGTCAGTGTGGAAAGGAGGGAGGGGGCACCAAGATGGGTCAGTGCTGAGGGCACCAGGGAGCCTTCATCCGCCCCTGGATGGGACACTGTGCGTGGGGGGCTGGTTTGAACTCCGTATCGCTTGAAGGGGCCTTAGCGCCCAACCTTTAGTTCTGACACGAAGAGGTCTTCCCCTGAAGCATCTTCACGACTCAGTAAAGCTCTCTCTCTACAGAGGGAGTGTTGTTGTGAGAAACGTTGTGCAAGAGTCTGACAGCCTTCCTCCAAAGAGCTCAGGGCAGTGGGCCTCAGTCTCCCCTCTCTCTTCTCATCACAACAGCCCAGCAAGGTAGGTACAGCTGAGAGGGAGTGGCCGATAGCCCCAAGGAGCCTCCGTGTCCAGAGGCAGCTGCAGTGCAGGGAGGCTGGATGGAGTCGGGGGCAGCTGCTGAAGACCCCCTTGGGCCAAAGGTGAAGAAGACCCCCCCCCCGGCTGCAGGCAGCACCTCCTCCTTTCCTGTGCTGCTCCGTAGGACGTAGGGGGGGACACAAGGTGTGCGGGATCCGGCCCCATTGCTTCTGCGTCCCTCTTGTCCCAGATCCCCAACTCCCGGGGGCTCACCTAGGCCCTCCCCCGACCCCGCTAGCACCTCCACTAACCCCTTCCCCCCAAACAGCAGGCAGACTGAGATCCAAGCCTCCAGGGACAGGGCCAAGTGGCAGGGGGCTGGAGCACTCGTGTGCTTCCTCCCCCCCCCCTTTCATCCACA